AAAGAGTTGACCCATTAATTGACAGAGAGGCAAAACTAATAGAGGCATGCCAGTTTTGTGGTTGGGTTATTTTTTCCCTTCCTCAGCATTCATTAAAAAGAAGGCTGACTGCATTCTGAAGACTAGCATAATTAAAACTAGTGAAGGAGGGTAAGAACAGGTTAGAGTCTGCTTAGATGAGTCAGATATTTTCAAATTGTCTGGCACAATTAATTCACTATGGAGTACTTAAGAAATCTTAGAGTCTTCCCTTATGAGCTTGGAGAATTAAAGGATAAAAAGTAAGTGAATTGTAGGGGGAGGGAAGAAATCTTTGTGTCTGTCTTTCCAAAAAATACATAAAGACCCAGGGAATTATAGACCAGTCAGGCTAAATTTAATTCCTGGAAAGACACTTGAGCTGATAATCTGTTTGGAATCACCCAGAAGATAAAAAGATGCTAAACAATGGCCAAAATGGATTTGACAAAAATAAATCATGTAAAGCAATCTAATTTCCCTCTGTGACAAGATGACAGGTCTTGAGGAGATGGGGTAGGTGATAAGTGTGATGCTTGATGACTTATAAAAATGTCAATGGTGTTCCTAAAGAAAAGTAGGGAAACTTGATCTTGACAAAGATACTGTAAGAGCAATCTCTAACCAATATTCCTGCCACCAAGGTTAATTGACATCAGACCAGTTGAGTATTTGTTTTTAAAACAAATGCCAAAGTAAAAAGTCACCAAAAAGTATGATACGCTTTATTCTTCTCTGGCTTGGAATTATAATTTCAAAGAGTAATTATCAGTGGTTCACTGTCAAACAAGAAAGATGGGATTCTGTCAAATGGTTTTCTCTAGAAAGAGATAAGGTTTTTTCTAGATAGTAGGATAGAGAAAATGTTTATTAAATCTGCAGTTGATACCTACTTGGGAAAAGCTGCAAGCACTTTGCAGAGGACAGGATTAAGTTTCAGAATGATCTTGACAAGTAAAGAAAGGTTTTAATATAAATAGTATGTAAGCGAAAAAGTACAAAAAGGCTATCTGGGCAGCAGATCTCCAGAGAAAGATATGGGAAACAATGAAATGAACCACAAACTGGGTAAGGGTCAAGAAGGTCAAACTGCTTGACCCACTGTAAAAAGCAGAAAGGAAGCAAACAGCTCTCATTTCACCACCCCGATATAATGCAATATTGACACTTGAGACACACAGAGTAAACTTCAACACTACTTAGTGCTCATTAGATGTAAGTTGGAACATCAGGTCTAGTATCATCTTCAAGAAGGAAGTAGATCAGAGACATCTATAAAAAAGTTCAGTAATCTAGAAACATGGAAACATGTTTTATGAGAAAGATTAAAAGCAGAAAACAGTAGAATAAACTGGGTAGGTTGTTGAACCTTCATTGTGGAGGGTTTTTAAGATAAGTCTAAACAAACACAACATAGGGATTCTTGGTCTTCCTTTGGGACAGAGGGATGGACTTCATGTCAGCATCACTCAAGAAATGGTAAAACTGCAGCTTTCAAGTGTTTGCTAGAGGGCTGCACTTGACTTCAAAGTCTTTCCATTCCTCTTGAAAGGTAAGCAACAACCTTCTGTGTCAGACTGCAAACTCTATTTAGTGTAATTCATTAAAGCCTTCAGGTAATGAAGGAATCAGTTAAAACTTCCTTGAACTCAGGTGATTTTTATAGAGCATGTTGAGTCTTGAGTCTTTGAAATTATTAGATCTCCATCCTTCCTTTTTCAGCTCCATGCAGAGTTTCTCCTTTCCCTGTGCAGACAGTAAAAGCACAGGAAAAACTGGAGGAGAAAACTAATCGGCTGTCTGGGAGCAGTGAGGGATGGGAGACACCAGCAGCAGAGGGGGAGAACACGCGATGGCCGGACAGAGCCCAGCCCCACTGCAAGGGAGGAGGGCAGGCCCAGAGGTCAAGGCCATGCTCAGCCAAGGGTGCAGGCCGTCAGGCAAGCAAGTCCATGGCGATGAGGCAGGTCCAAGGCCAAGCTGGGAAGTCGATCCACAGGTCAGGATTAGGCCTAGTGATTGCTGGGCAGGTCCGTGGCAGAGACTGAAGGCACAGGACTAAAGGTGTGGGTGGAGGTCTCAGAGGAGGGGCCATTAAGGCCTGTTAGTGACCTCCAGGTGCTGGTATAAGTCTATACATCCACTGAAACCATATTTCCCTCTAAAGGAACATCAGGAAAAGCTATCCTAACATTTTTTGAAAGTGACAAAATCATTGAATAGCATCTAAAACTTATCTCTTTGTTGTAAAATGCCCACTGAGTTTAGGATGTGATTCTTCTTTTCTATGCTGAAAATGCATTACAAGCCACTAGACCAGAAGTAACTGAATGTCATCTCTGTTTACTCTCCTGTAAAATAAAATAAACAGAAATAAATTAATGAGGTCTTTAGAGAAGCCTGTGTAGTAACTCAGGTGGTTTTACTCTTTAGCAGCAAGACAGAGCAATGCTCTCTCTCATTTTTCCATCTCCCAGAAAGACTATATCAGTCTGACAGACCTCCTTTTTTGTTTGTTTGTTTGTTTTGGTTTTTTTTTAAACCTAGAACAATTTGCATATCTGTCTTAATTTCTCCAGTTGTCATTCTACCTAAGCACATGTGGGGATAGATACTGCCTTCTTGTTCATGTTATATAGAGAAAACTTCATACTCATATAGTTTAGTCAACATGAACTGTAATTGTATTGGTTCAGCTGCCATCTAACTTCTGGTTTTTTGGGCTGATGACTTTTTTATTTAGCTGGATCACTGTCTCCTGTCTCTTTGCAATTTGTACTATGATCTTATATCCTGATAATTAACAAGTTCACAAGTTAGCTGCCCCTGAAAGTCATAAAGCTGTTTTCTGGTTTCACTCGCCTCGTAATGAAGCAGTTGTCTCAATTGCTTAGATTATCAGTCTTACTCCAATTTACCTCTGGAGACCAAAACTACAGAGGATCTCTTGCTTCTATTCAATCCATTTCCCTTTGGATCCTTTCCTGCAGAGACTTTGCATTACCACCCATGTCCTTTTACTTGGTGGAATAACTTCTCTTTCTTTTAAACAAATGTTACATGTTCCTTATTCTCCAGATCACATAGAGAAAAAAAAAGGTAGGTAGAGAGAATGGAGGAATTTATGCCAGCATGATTTCAGTTCTTGAAGCACATGGGCGATATCTATATATCTGACACTGCTAGCATGGCTTGAGGCTCCCTTTCTTGGCGTTGCTTGGATCCCAATGATTATGACTTTTCAAGTGACCTAAATTCTATGGTTGCCAATAGCACAGCTCACTATTAGTATCCTTTGTAAGTTATTCAGGTCTGTTTGTATAACCAGAAATGTCTTTTCCATCGGATTAATGTTTAAATTGTGTAAGTCGTCTTGCTATAAGGGTAATATACAAACTTCATTGGTTCTATTACTTAACTGGGACAAGTTCATACCCATTGTGCTTCTGTGTCCTAGATTTTGTGGATTGCTGCCCTGTTCTCATCCTCTGGGAGAAGATTCTGTTTCAAAAGTTAATAATTCTGTGGCAAAGGTTTATAAATGAGGTTACAAAATATTTTCAGGATTTTCAGCTTTAAGTGTTTGCTATGGTATATAATCATAAGATAATTTAGGTTGGAAGAGACCTTGGGAGGTTGTCTGGTCCAACCTGCTGCTCAAAGCAAGGCTAGCTTTAATGTTTATCATCCCTGAAGAATTATAGCTGTTGCACACACAGCTCTCAGAAAAGTCCTGACCCTGTCCTCTTTCCAATTCTCAGATGATCTTTCAGCTGATTGGAGATTATGCAGCAATTGGTGCCTCCAATTTTGCTGCTGTCTAGCACTACCTTTTGGGGATCGTATTTTGAATTAGGCAAACCAAGCAATATTCCTTTGGTCCGTGTTTGCTGTGTTTCATGTTTTGCGTGAAGAGTCATGAGAATGAAGTCATACTCAGCTATCAATAACTCAAAACTATTGGGAGCTACCAGTATTGTAGATGATGTAAAGGCTTCAGAATACGACAGTAAAACAGAAAAATGTGTAATCATGTACGTTTTTTCAGGTAATGCTGTTATTTGTTAATCAGTAATTCTAGTTTATCTTACTTCAGTATTTTACTGTTCTTTCCTGCATATTGGTCACTTTATTTATACACATTTTTTGGTTCATAGTATGTTTCAAACTGAAACTTGGCACTTGATTGCACTAAGTGGGATTCTGGCTTCCTTGTTTTTTGATAGGACACTTCCTCCAGACTATATTCAGTTGTTACTTTT